CAAATTATAAATATATCAATTCATGTGAATATGACTGAAAAATTTTATTTCTGAAAAGGTGGTGTCTATTTCCTTGTGACCACGCTGTGTATACACACACAACACACACACACATATATTTGCCAGTTGCTTCTCTAACAGTGTGTGTTAGTTTATTTACAAGAACAGGATTATTTATTTATTTGCTCCTTTTACATTTAGTGTTTATCAAGCCTGAAGGAAATGTAAATGGTATCACATATATGGAAAATGATGCACAAACAATAACTTGTTAAAAGTACTTAAAAGTTTCATTTCATTTTTTGCTTAAATATAAAATCTCGAAAAGAGGCAATGCCAATATCCTTTGATACATTTTCATATGTGGGATCATATTTTGTTGTAAAAAGATTTTTACTTACTGTCAGTAAAGTTCCAAAAAGTGCTGAGATAGTGTTGTGGCTACCAAAAATAAGTGCTAAAAAGATTCCTGAATTTCCCCTAGTGTGACACACGACACATTTTCTCTATTCTCTTCTCTATTTTATCCACCACTACCTCAAAAAGTATGAAATTACACATAAATTACTCCCTATAAAATGGTCATTGCTAAGACAAACCAACATTTTTTATAGCTTTCAATTTTGTTTGGTTACAGAGCCATCAAATAGAAAATCAGACCCCTCTTGCCAAACACACCTGTCACATCTTTTCTTTCAGGATTAGTTAATAGTTCTCTCTTACATTTAATTCTATAATACCAATAACCAATAGAAAGTAAAGGTTTTCATCTATCAAATGATGTATTTTATAATGCTGTGTTCTGAACAGAATATCATCAATTTCACTCAGAGTCAAGATTCGTTCCCATGGAAAAGTTAACAACTAGCTTGAATGAATTTGTAATGGCTCTTGTCCCATAATTACAAAGCCAGAAAAATTTTGAGAGTTAGGGGAAATTGTCTACATTTTGCATGCTATTAGTCTATTTTCTTTGATGCATTATTTAATTAGTATAAAAAAGAAGGGTTTAACTGTCATCGACTGGGACTGACCTCATAACTATATTATGCTTGTTAGTTTTCATGCTATAGCCTTTAAATTAGTAAGCGTATGTTAACGAAATTTGGCAGATTATCAGTAAACATTACAATGCTTTCAAATGCAAAATATCATGCCTTTTTTCATGTTTCCTATCCAACATACAAGGTAATTTTCATATTGAGATTAAAAATACTTTTGTGCATCAGAAAATTTTCAAATTTAACATGCAGAATCTTTATAATTTATCTGTTATTTTCAGTAATGAATCTCTGTACAGGTTTGGTCGATTTGACCAATCTCGTAACCACGTTTAAAAAATGAGAAAATAAATATAAATTATGCATCTTTCATTCTAGAATGAAAACAAATTATAAATGTTTAGACGAAATAGCTTCAATCTCATACATTATACATTTATATATATTTATTATATTGACCTTTCACCCGTGCCTGGCTAACAATACAGAAGTTACAACGACGAGGCTAGCGTGCACTCATGTTACCGTATCAAATAACATAAAGGTGACCTTTGATCTGTACCAAGTAACTTGCCTTAGCTGTGTTTAGTTGACTAGCATTTTTGTAAAATACAGTCACAGTTCAATTATTATACATTATATATGTATATAGATTATTGCTATTTTGTAAATAAGTTCTGAAGTTATTTTTCCTAAAACACAG